AGGTCGACCCGTCCTGCGCCGTTCGGTGTAAAATGATAAATGCGAAAGATGGACTGCGTAAAGATCCAGCGGTCTTTTTCGGCAGTGGCAAAGAAATATGCAACCACATGCTGCAAAAAAAAAAAAAGTTGAGCGGGAAACTGCTGTATGTAGTAAATAGAACACCGCCTTCTCTGTTGTTGCAGGCAGGTTTGCTTCCACCACCCGGGAGCCCAACCCACGCTTGTATTTCGACCTACAAGAGACTCCAATCGACACAAGCACCGGTAGGAGAGTGCGTGGGAGATGCCGTGACAGCACAACTCCACTCTCCTACGACATCTATGTACAGTAGTAGTACTGCTGTCGTTGTATAATAGCACCATGTGGAAGATCTCCGAGGGGTCCTCCTACGCGGTAACGACAGCATGGCGAGAGCTCTACGTGTACCTGTCGTCGACACATGTGGCAGCCGCACGACACACGAACGGATGTTTGTATCGCATTGTACTATGTATGGTTCGCGGTGGCAGGAAGTATCCCATCCAGTTAGGTCGTTGCGGTAGGTACGCGGACGTCGTTCGGCGTCTACAGTAGTCCATACTGCTTGTTGGATGTACTCACAGCATCAACAGATTATTGCGAGCAAGAATTTCCCGAGCAGATGGAGCGGGGAGTTTGGGGGTTCAATGGTTGCTATGGATTAGATTTGGTGGTACCAACTTTATCACATATTGCAGGTTTGAGGGTATGGGTGTCTACAACGGAATTTGTGTGCGTGGCTTGTGGTTCCTCACTTCCTTTTTCTGTGTATAATCAAGTCCTTTTTCCGGCTCTCACGCCAACCCCGGCTTCCACGCCCATACTCCGGCTATCACGCCAACCCGGCTTCCACGCCTTCAGGACTCCCACGTCCCTACATATACCTTTACATCAGGGCTACCACGCCACCCGGCTTCCACACCACAACTATATTATACACGAGCTTCCACGCTCCACCACGTAGAAGGGCTTTCACGCCCGCGGATAGTTTCTACATTTTGACCGTTGGCAGTACCCAGCTGCTGGCACCTTTTGTTTCCCACTACGGGACCCCGCGCCGAGGCACCCACGCACAAAGCTACTCAACACTGCTGTTGCAGAAACACAGCAGCACCAGCAGTAATCGAGCTATGCATGATTTATTTTGCTCTGGTTCATTTTTGCCTCCACAACCCGAGAATCCCACTGCTGTATCTCGACCTACAAGACTCCAATCAACAAACCAGCACTGGCAGAAGTGCGTGGAAGATGCTGTGACAGCACAACTAAGTCGACACTCGTACGACTTCCATGTACAGTCGGCGTCTGGTCCAAACTGCTGTGGAAATACAAAAATCGAGCCATCTTTTTATTTTTATTTTCCATACTAATAACAAGAAATGTATCACGTCACGACGACCATCCATATCTGTATATATATCATGATGTGGTTGATATGAGATGACGTTCTCCCATAACCCCTTGTCCAACTAGCTGTGCTGTTTTTTTTTTGTTGACAGTTCCGTGCGTAGATTCGCCGTGGTGCAGGAGAGTTATTTATTTTTCACGGTGTGGTGGCTTGCCTTGTCCTTGGCGTTGTAAATTCCGTAACATTAGCACGGTCGTTCAGGTCGGCGAAGACAGCCAAAAAAATGTTTTAACGCCGTTTGTGACTAATTTATTCCAAATTTCCACACCGCAATGTATTGCTTAATGACTGAAATAATGGCTGGTTGCGTTGTATTTTACAGTGCTGTGACTCTACCCGCCTTTGGAGTTTCGAGCTCGCGACACGGGCGGGCGTTGTCATCGAGAGACTGGCCCGCTCCAGGGGGCGAAGGCCGGCAGCAGTTTTAAGGGCAACCGCAGACTGATGCACCCAAAAATGACGTCTTGATTTTGGAGTGCAAAAATGGTTATACTCTTGCGTCTCAGGGTTGAACGAATAGTTGTAGTTATGCCTATCGTAAAAAGATCATCAAAGTAAGGATCCGGGGATAGGTAGTATCGGGGCTCTGGTGTCGAACAAGAACTTGAAACAAACGTGAGTTCTTTGAGATCAACATGTGATTTCCCTTAGCGATGAAATTCTACCTCTGGACAACATTTTCTCAATGGGTGTACTACAGCTGTTGCCTCGTTTTTTCTCAAATAAATACTGGGTTACCTAAATCGTACATCAACTTAATGTCGTCTCCTCCATCTGCGTCTAGTTCGTACATTGCAAAATCAACACACTCCATCTGGCTATCTAGCGACTCAACTATTCGGTCCATTAAGCCTCGAATCATGAGATCCTTGGACACAATGGCTTCAACCACTCCAGAAACAACTACGGGGTAGAAAACCATCATCGTTGCGTCCTGTGCGACGGAAGGTATGGGGTTTCCCACCTTGTCTACGTTACAGGGATGTAATTGGTGTTTCCACGATACACCGTCCCCGGTGAAAGTACATTATTTTTATTTCTTTCATGATGCGTTCCATTGTGGGGGGCCATAGCTCCATCATTTCATATCCAAGGAAGGGTGGTGATAGGGGGTAAATATTAAATGAAAGGGAACATGCCATTCCCCTCTTCTTGCCTCCTAGCCATTTCAGGAGGTTCCCCAAAGTTTTTTACTTCGCAGCAAGTGGGAATTTACGCGGGGTGGTACACTCCTTGGTTTCTCTTCTCGAAATCTTCGCTCTGTTCTGGTTAAACACCTATTGAATATGCAACCAACCGCGGTAGATTCCTTGGTTAGACTCAGAGCGGGTAAAGTTATGTGTTCAAATTCTGATTTCGTGATTTTGTCGAAATCGTAAAGTTGGATGAAGTTTCAAATATACGAGTCCGATAACTGACGTTCGAATTCTACCACAGTTTGGTTAGAAATGTCTCTCGTAACAGAGACCAATCTTACCTGAAGTTCTCTGTCCCATAGATAGAGTGAAAATCCCGTACATGATAGAACGAGAAACAAACCCATACTCCCCGAAAAATCCCCTATTAGACCCATGTTTATGGTCGCCAAATCTTTGAAAAAAATCTTCAAATGTTGTCGAACAATTGCGCGCGAATATCTGCCAGAGGAACATTTGAGTACCGTTTTCATGGGCAAAAAAATCTTTATCGTGTGGTTTTCTCGAAATGCATCGCACGTGCGGCGGGAATCGTGGTCTACTGCTACCAAACGATTTGTGACAGACAAACCACAAATGCGTCATGGAAACTGAATGTAACGAGCTCGCAAAGGGCTCCCCACAACCCTTGATGCACTGAGCTGATGCTGTGCCCGCCAATATGTGGCGATAGCGCTCCGGGCGTGCGAGAAAAAATGTTCTCGGTGTCAAAAAGAGACCAAAACGTGCGTCAGCGCTTCCCAACGGCAAAAAGTCGGCCGCTTGAGAGGACACGTGAGTACAAAACTATCCAGCTCTCGTCCTCTAGACCATCGATTCATGTTTTGTCTTCTTGGGTGTCTTCTCCATCAACGACTCTCATCCGGTTGTGCGTGGATTGGCAGTGGCCGCGCTCAGCCGGCAGGGAGGCACATCGTTGTGCGCGCAAAGTTGTGGACACGACGTTTTTTTCGGTCTATTTTTTCACTTGAATATAGAGCGCTTGTTCCTCCGTCCCAAAAAAGACTTTTTCAACACATCGAGTTCACAGCGACGCGCCTCCCTGCCTGTTGAGTAAGTCCACTGCTGAACCACTCACACCCGGATGAGAGC